AAGAAGAAGAAGAAGAAAGAAAGAAAGAAAGAAAGAAGAAAGAAGAAGAGGAGGGAGGAGGAAGGAGAGAGAGAGAGAGAGAGAGAAGGAAGGAAGGAAGGAAGGAAGGGAGGAAGAATCTTGAAGGCCAGAACAGGGGAACTAAACTGAGAACACAGGCAGGCAAGAACTTGGGAAAATGTCCTAATGTTGATGGCCAAGGTGGTGTTCAAGGTCTGGAACTAGAGCTGCAGGATGAGTACAATACAAACATGGAAGTGACTGAGATCAGACAGAAAAATAGCTGGTAGGCAGTCAGAAAACTAGAAAAATCCACAAAACTTAGGGATCCTATAAAGGAGCAAACTCAGATATTCAGGAAACATTTCACGATAGACACAAGAGACGAGAACTCAGTGAGGGCTCTGCCCTTCCAAGTGGCTGCGCATGTGACTCCGCTAGAGAGTAGGGCCATCCCAGGGCATAGACACCCATCCCAGGCCCTGGCTTGCTGGCGTCTTAACATCTAAGGTTGTATTATCTCTGTTCCTGAGAATTAGTTATCTGCCTAAATGAGTAGAAACCAGAAACCCACATAAATCAAAATATTGCCTAAGATGATTCACATTTCATTTGAGACTAATAATGCAGTTGTTTCCTCCCCAAGAAGGATTTTTTAACCTATATTTTTTGCATAACAATAATTTTAAGAAAATAAAACCTTGCATTTTGGGGGTACATTCTAAGTTATACAGAGGTCAGACTAACCTAAAGTGAAAATCAATTGCACAAAGTAAGCGGAGATTCGCCTGCTTTCTCACCTCCCTGCAGTGATGTTTATGTCCAGTCCAGGGGTGGCAAATCCATGACCTCAAAGGCAATGCTGAACCAGCTACCACAGAGGGTCCTGGCATCTCTCTATTTCCACCAGAGGGGGGCTTACATCCCTGGACCAATGAAGCCTGTCACAACATCCCTGATTCCTCATTCTCCAGAGCAGGTCCCACGTTGCACAAATGGTGGACGTTGTCTCCATTTCCCACTCTCCAAAAACACATCTACACAAATACAGCAGTAAACTAAGTGCTCAGAGGTCCTGGGACCTCCTGCTGACCCCTAGAGAGGGGCATGGAAAGGCAGATTGTACATAGGTCAGTTTCAGAGCTGGTTATCCTATCAACACTTCCCCAGTGACAGATTTTCTGCTGTGGCAAAGAGGTAAAATCTGCTTGGAGATGCAGAACACATCACAAATAAAGGCTCATAAGTGAATATTGTCAAAACTCAGGGGTTTTATCTGTGTAAGCTTAGTGAACCAGAGCTTTTGAACACCCTCAATGGGCTGAATACACACGCTGTTGTCCTGGAACACTCACCTCCAAATATTGATGTGGAGATACAAATCAGGCAGAGAGAGAAAAATGCTTCTCTACCTGAAGTTAATTAACATTTTAGAACTGTTAACAATAGCAGCTCAGCTTCTAATACGGTGGCAAAGGGCATGATGGCCATGGTTTGGTTTCTAGGCAAAGTCAGAAATTTTATTTCCCCAATACCTTCCACTGTGGTGAAGAATATATGCTTTGTCCCACCAGGATCCTGCCATGGGAACTAAAAGAAAATGTGTGTGCTAATCATAACCTGGAAGAGAGGAAGTTCTGTTTTCTTATAAGCATCTGATGCTGAACTCTGCCCAGATTCCTGATCCACAGGAAATGTGAGATCAGAAATGTTTATCGTTTTCAGTTGTCACATTTGGGTGCAATTTTTTAGGCACCAATGGATAACTAATACAGAAGCTAAGATTTTAATTATTTTAATTAATTTAAATGTAAGGTAACCACGTGTGGCTGGTGGATACACTATTGGTCTAAACCTTATGCTTGCTTGCTGTTTCATGTTTCTATTTGGGAAGAGAGAGCCTCAAACGAGGTAAGAAAAGTCCAAGCGGATGTCCCCATCCTACGCGCCCTTAGGAGTCAAATCACCACCATACTTCTGGTCAAAGAGTTGCTCGAGTTTCCCCACAAAACGTCACCAGGGAGTAGGGAAATGACACCAAATGGAAACTTAGCTCTACATGAAGGAATGAAAAATGGTCCAAACGGAAAATTCTAGGTAACTATAAAAGACAATTTGCTCATTTTGAAAAGATAATTAACTGTTTAATTGCAATCTATTGCGTGATTTATAAGAAATGTAGAACTTAAGTCTATAACAATAGCACAGAGGACAGGAGAATTACCCTGCTGTAAAGTTGTCATATTCAAAAGTAAGTGGGTTAATATTTCCTCAAGATAGCCTGGGAGGGGCGAAATATGTACAGTATTAACTTGAAAGCAACCACTAGTCAGTCAGCTGTGGAGATGAAATGGGACACTCAAAGTGCTCAGTCAGAAAGAAGTCAGGGAAAGAAGAAAAGAAACAAACAAACTCGAGAAGCAGAAAACATACAACAATGTGGTAGATTTAAACAGCTACGCTGATAGTCTAGACACTCTATTTAAAGGACAGAAACTGTCAGATGACATTTTAAAAAGCAAGACCCAAATTAGTAAAGAGTCCGATTCATTTTCGCTCTTTGCCTGCTGACAGCGTTCAAGCCCCACCCATTTCTCTTTCCCTCCAGCTCACATCAGGCCAGCTGGTAAGGCAGGCCATGCGCTCCCTCCCCTGGTACCTGTAAGAAGTGCACACCAGGAGAGCCCTGACCACGCCCGGGAACCCTTACTGGAGCCCAGCTCCCAACCACAATAAAAGCCCTCCTGGCTCTTTGCAGCCAGGGACCCTGCCACGCTCTCCCCAGAAAACCTCATTACACCAGTAATTAATCTCTTCATACCTTCTTGATGCAGGCATGGAATCATCAATCTCAATGTCCAACCAATTTCTCTTTTTTGTGGGGAGTACATCTTACCTCCATGGGATGACCTGACCACAACATCCCACGCTATGATGTCTATTAAAAAAAAAGAAAAACTCACTTTAAATATAAGGCCACATTTAGGCTAAATGAAAGGATGGGGAAAGGCGTTAGCATGTCAACCCTAGCCACATGGAAGTCTGAGTTGTTACATTATTATTTAGGCAAATTAAATCTCAGGACAAGGGCTATTATCAGGGATGCAGGGGTAGTGACTTGTGATAGAAACATAGATCGGTGGAAGAACAGAAGATCTAGAAACAGACCCAACACATATATATCACAAAGTTTCCAAGGTAACTAATCCACTGGGGGTAAGGATAGCCTTTTCAACAAGTGATGCTGGAACAGTTGGATGTCCACGTTAAAAACAATCAGCCCAACTCTTATTTCACAAAAATTAATTCAAAGTAAGTCACAGATCTAAATGTAAGAGCTGATACCATAAAAGTTCTAGAAGAAAACATAGAAGAGAGTCTTAAGAAACTCAAGATAGGCAAAGATTTCTTAAATAAGACAGAAAAAAGAAACTATAAAAGAAAAAAATTAATGAGTTGGATCCCATTAAAATTTCAGACTGCTTTTCAAAGATACTGTCAAGAAAATGCAATCCATACATCCGACAGAGAACTTTTATTCAGAATATATTATAAATAGTTACATGCCAATAATAAGAAAATCAATCTAATAAAAATGGCCAAAAGATTTGAACAGACGCTTCACAAAAGAAAATAAACATCGGGTCAATATGCACATGAAAAGGTGCTCTGTATCATTAGTCATAAGGGAAAGGCACAAATTAAAACCACAATGAGATTCCACCTCCCACCCACTATAATGGCTATAATGAAGAAGACTGGCCACACCACCCACTGGTGAGTATGCAGAGCAACTGGAATGTTCATTCATTGCTGTAGGAATGGAAAATGCTGCAACCACTTTGGAGAACATTTTGGCAGTTTCTTATAAACTTAAACACGTACTTAACCATATGACCCAGCAATTTCACTCTTAGGTGTGTACCCAAGAGAAATGAAAGCATAGCTCACACAAAGACTTATGTGCACAAATGTATGTAGGTAGCAATGTGTATAGTTGCCAAACACTGGAAGCAACACAAATGTCCATCAGTGGGTAAAGGGATAAACAAAATGTGGTTTATCCAGCTGATGGAGTACTGTTTGCCAACAGAAAGTAACGAACTGCGGATATCTCCACTACTTTGATGAATCTCAAAAACATAGTGCTGAGCAGAAGCATCTGGACACAAAAGAGGGCATACTCTATGAATCCATTTGAATGAATCTCTAGACATGACAAATCTATCCTGTAGTGATGTAAGGCAATCAGCAGTTGCCTGGACTGGAGGTGTATAGGGACAGTTGACCGGGAACCAGAACAAGGGAACCACGGAGGGTGATGCAAATGTTCCATAGCTTGGACGTGACGGTGCTTTCACAGATGTACACGTTTATCATAACTCATCACCTTCTGGGCTTAAAAGGAATGCATTTTATTTTATGATCACATTTATGTCACAACATCAAAACACTTATGCAACTGACAATGGATAATCTGTTAGAACAGAGGGTGACGATATGGGAATCCTCTCTGCCTGCTGTATTGTTTTATTTCGTTCTGGCTTTTGAGTCTTGATTTACATTTTGCTAGTGAGTTTCTCTTTCCTGCATTCAGTTTGCCACTTTATTTGCTGAGAAGGAAAAAAGAAACACATGAATTGAGTAATTTTTGTTTTATTTTACTTCTGCATTAAAATATACCAAAATATTAGGACTGCTGGGAGTCCCCAGATCACTAGTCCATAGTCTTTATTGAGGAGATTTTCTCTCCATTAGTGCACAGAACTACAAGACATTGATTTACTTTCAGAAGAAATCAATGGAAGATTATTAAGGAGCCTTGATGTACTATAGGCATCGCACAACCAAAGGACACTTCAGTCTCAAGGAAAAGTATAAACACACACACACACTATTACAGTCATTAAATCATCAATTTTTGATGGTAAGATTGAAATGCAAGTAAAACAAATTTTAAAAAGAATGGGCCATTTTCATAATCATATTAATACTTCAGCACTGGTGATGGTTGTTTTCTGCCAGTGACTCTCCTAAGGAGAAGAAAATCGGCCAAAAAAGAGGACGCTGTCAGCCTCATTGTGCCTGATGAAGAACAGGAAAGGGTGATTGCAGTGAAATTTTTCGTAATCTGGGGCTGAGGTCATGGCAAAGCTTATGCCAGTGGCAGCTGCCGCCTCTGTGCCTTCCTCGCTGACCTCCACAAAGGACCTGTGCAGGAACTTCTGGGCATGCAGCCTGGAGGGTGAGGACATCCCCAAAGAGTCGGCTTGCTGCTCATTGAAGGCGTCCGCCATCCCCATGGCTGCCAGGACAGCCTCCATGTCATAACTATCCTCCACTTCAAACCGGGGCAAGTGCAAGTTTACGGTCCTTTCTTCCATATGCCCTGGGCTAGTCCACTCAATTAATTCACTGGGAGTTATTTTATCTATAATCTATGAAGAAAAAAAGGAGAGAAGAATGGCATGATTATCAATAAAAATTTGAAACAGTGTCCAACTGATTCAAGCCAGTCAAAAATTACTAATTTTAGTAACAAATGAAAGTAGAAATTTTATTTCACTCAACTCCTATCTTTACATAGAGAGTATTTGCTTCATATTTCTCTATTTAAATTACCTGTGTATGTATGAAAACTCTATAGCATTAAATGAAGTTTTAAAGGTGAGAAATAAGTCATTTCTTATTCTATCAAGCTAATATGTATATAAATATATAATTTCTTTTTTTTTTTGCTGTTCCCCTCTTTGTCTACATATATAATATACAAATTACATATGATAAATATATTATTATAAGGAATATAATTTATATTATATGATATATTTATATAGTTGCAATCACATCAAAAAATCTTTTTTTCTTTTTGCAACGTAGACTTTTCCACACTGCTGCATATCTCTCCTAAATATCTTCAGACTGGCAGATATTTCCATCAAGTTGTTAAAAATTCCATCTGCTATTCATCCTTTCGTTCACTTTACAATCTCCTAATATTGAGAATTATGATATATACGGTACTAATAATAAAATTTCAAGCTACATATCTTAGTGTATTTAATGCAGAAATTACAGATTTGATTCAAAAAGGTAACTTTCTTCTCTTGAATTATTTCCCTAGGGAAGTCAGATTATGGATACTCTTAAGGCATTCATACTTACTGCCATTTTGCTATCCCAAAATATTTCCCAATGTATAATGCTACTAGAGACATTTCACAGAAACAGAATAGCAACCAGTGTCACAATAAAGCAGCATCTATCACTTATTGAGTGCTTTCCATGAACTGGATCCATTCTAGGAACTATTTTTTCCATGTCCTAGATCCATTCCAGGAGACAGAATAAGTCCAGGACATGGAAAGCACTCAATAAACAGCAGATGCTATATTATTATAATACTGGATGCTGCTCTACATGTATACGCACACACACATATGTGTGTGTGTGTGTGTATGTGTAACAACACTACACATTAAGAACTATGGAACCCGTTTTATAAATAAGAAAATATTGAAGTTCAAGGAAGTTAAGAAGCTTCAAAGGGCAGAAAACTACTAAACAGAGGAACAGGGATTTGAAACAAAGCCTTTCTGTTTTCGAAAATACAGGCTACCAGCCACATCAACTTTTTTAACTGCAAAGTGTGTGGGACTAAATCAAGGGGTTCACGACTGAGGGTCCTATGGACTGTTAGTGATTATTATTAGTCAATGTAGGCTTATTTTTTGGTTTAAAAAAAAAGTACCACTCTGGTAAGTAATGCTGATCACGGGGGAGGTTAGGCAAGTGTCGGGGCAGAAAGTATATGGGAAATCCCTGTACTTTCCTCTCAATTTGCTATAAACCTAAAACTTCTCTTTAAAATGTCTTTAAAAAATTAAAGGTCTGAAAAGGAAATTCAGAAGGTCCAATAGCCTACTGAATAGAATGCAAAATTCGCTGTCTATGTGTATGTGTGATTTTTTTTCCCTGGGAAAGAGGTCATCAGAGATTAACCACTTCTCAGAATGGTGGGTGATCTTTAGAACTCCTAAATGACCTTAAATATTCATGTTAGCTCATCCCCAGATATTTTAGTATTGGTTGTTCTCGATAAACCTGATCCCATTCAGTGTTCCTCTTTAGATACACCTGTACCTGCGGCACAGAGGGAGAAATAGCTCTGTTTCACCAGCTCCAGATCAAAAGCCCTATTTCCAGGCTCACCTACAAACAAGCTTTGGAATGCAAGCCTCAGGAAATGAAAGCAGGAGTGGGGAAATGTAAGATTTTACCTTCTCCAGACCATCTATGTCATCGGGCAGCAACACGAACATACTTAGGTCATTGTTTTTATATGGAATCCCCAGAATTTTGGCTTGCAAGTCCTCCAGGATCATGAAGCTGAAGGACTGGTGCTGTGTCATCATCAGCACAGATTTGCTTGTGCTCTGCAACGAATCAACAGAGCGCAGGGTCAAAAGAGGTACAAGACCACCAACCGGGCTCACCAAAGTAATAAGTTCAACCGAAAATCATGCTGAACGAGACGTGGAAACAACCTAAATGTCCATCAATTGATGACTGAATAAGTTGATACATACATATAAATATATGAATATATGATAGAATATTCCTCAGCCATAAATAAGAATAAAATAAAGCAACATGGATGGACCTGGAGATCATCATTTTAAGTGAAGTAAGCCAAAAAGAGAAAGAAAAATTCTATATGATATCACTTATATGTGGAATCTTAAAAAAAAAAAAGACACAAATGTACTTATTTACAAAACAGGAATAGACTCACAGACATAGAAAGCAAACTTACAGTTACCGGAGGGAAAGGGGTAGGAAAGAATAAATTAGTTCAAGATTTGCAGATACTAACTACTATATATAAAATAAACAAGTCTACACTGTATAAGTAACTATATTCAATGTCTTATAATAGCCTACAATGAAAAAAAGTTGAAAATGTAATATATGTATATATATGTATGACAGAAACATGATGCTGTACACCAGAAATTGATACAACATTGTAAAAATTTTTTTTAATTTTTTTAGGTTTCAAAATTAAATTTTAAAGAAGAAATTTAAAAAAAAATTTAAAAGAAAATCAATTAAAAATTAACTTGAAAAAGAAAATTAAAAAATTAAATTAAAAAAAGAAAGTCCTGCTAAAGATCAGAGCCTCAGACCCGGCATTTTGCTGTCTACCATGTACATTTGGTCAAATGCGACTTCAGGTTTTACATTCTATGTGTAAGCATATCACATAAATTAATGAAGGACCATACCTTATTCAGCCAAAATTCCTCCTCCTGGGTATCTTCTTTTGCAAACTCTCTGTCCCACTGCCCTTTAAAATAAACTACATTCACCACCACCAGCTTGGTGGAGGAGCTCAAAGAGCCGTTTGCAAACAGGTCCTTGATTTTTTCTGCAAACGAAAAACAGCAACAAAATTGGCCCATCTTCAAAGTTACAAGTGCTATGCATGGCAGATACGACATTGATGAACTTGACCGATCAGTCAAATCTCAGCCGGGTCAGCACCTGAAGGTCTTGCCGACAAAGGGTTCACTGGCAGAATCATAGGGAGGCTCTCCCTTTGCCATTGCCAATTTATCCCCTCTGGATAAACTGAGGTGTGATGGTTAAGGGTTCAGGCTCTGGAATCAGACTGCCTCTGGTAGGATCCAGGTTTGCCTCTTATCAGCTGAGGAACCTTAGGCAAGTTACTTAAGCTCTCTGTGCCTCAGTTTTCACACCTGTAAAACAGGAATAAACCCTGCCTCATAGAGTTGCTGAAAGGGGTAAATGATTTAATATGTAGAAAAGCACTTAGAATATTATCTGGCTTCTAAGAAGCACTAAGGGTCAGCTATCCTTATTTTTACCCATTCAATATAGTTACCACCCAAGATTTAGAGATTTCTTATTTTATTGCAAAAGGGGCTGATGTTTTCACCTCTGGGTTTAGACCATCCCACACCGAATTCCAAAGAATACTACCTTCAACCAACCCTTTGATAAAGCTTCTCTTTCCCTGCTTTTTAAATTTTGATCTCCTTTGGACTAAGTGTGAAGAAAAAAATACATTCTGAAATAGCAGATGTCTCCCCGAAAACTGGAATTTTTAAAATGTGTTCTGAAAAGCTAACACTGAAGCATCAGCCTTGCTCTCCAAAGCATATTTCCTGTTACCCTGCCTCTGTGGGATTTCCCATGTGATCGGCTCCTGCTAGGCGAGGGGGAGGGGGAGGATGAAGAGCGGGCTTTGTCCAGTTCTCTGCTGTGGGTGAGGCTCAGCGTTGCTACCATCCCTACATGATGATAAGGTGAGCAGGCAGCCCTGGCCGCAGGTAGCAAAGGCAGGTCCTGATGGGAGAGCTTAAGGTTTCCCACTTGACGAAGAGAAAGGAAACCCTCTATGACATTTTTACTTAGGGATCCAGACTCAGAAGGAAAGGCTCGCACATAAAAGATGTGAACCCAAGACAGACATGAGCCCAAATTCAGGAGCCCCAAATTTACTGCGATCCACAGCTATGTGCAAATAACTCTCCACTAAGTATTTCCATGAAGTTGGCTTCCTGTGGTCTCTTGCCTGATTCCCTTGGCTCTCCCCACATTTGCTGAGACATTTCCCCTCTCTACAGTGCCTTCTCCAACTCCTCATACCCAGCCCTGCCCCTCCAACATGAAAAACCCATCTCAAATTCCCTCCCACAGCTTGTGCACCCTGTCATCCCATGCAGGGCCCAGCACAAGGCTTCACGCACAGTGAGAATGTTTTTATGATGAACGATGCATCCATACTCTACCATGTGTTTGGCTTTCAACCCAGGAATTAATCTTCTTTCGACTTTCATCTGCTGCATTTAAAAAATCTACAGGTTCCAAAGAAGCATGGTAATATTTTTCAACATAATCCAAGTATTTCTTTAGGAAAAACAGAGAAGGAATAGAAATAGCTTTAAAATTCAATCTATCTATCGCCAACATCACTAAATAAATGTATCTGTACATCAAGATAACCAATGTGAAAAGCAGAGATTTTTAGGACCTGGGTGAATCACTTAGGACTTCCATGCACATTTTTATGCAGGTGCCATAGGGCAATTAAGGCAAAAATCAGATTTAGACTCCGGATTGAAAAGAAGCTCCTAAAGGGCCCGGATGTCTGGAGGACGGGCAGCAGGGCACGCCAGTGATGTGGGCTAAGCCAGGCAGTCAGCCTAGTCTTTACAGGGTCACTAGGCCGTCCATGAACGCCACTCAAGCAAAACTTACCTGAAGGAAGAGGTATGTCTTTTCTCCAAACAGCCTGTTGACTACCTTCAGTTCATAATCATCAGTGAGCTTGCTTATCTCATTCAAAAACCTTTGGAACTGGTGATGTATCTCTTCTGTCTTCTCTGACTTCAAAATCAAAACAAAAGCTCAGTGAGTTATCTGGGCAAAAGGAAGCCTGGATTCACCCCCAGGAGGACAAGGTTGCTGGGTCCATCCCTCAGTTTGGCAGCCCTAAGGGTGGCCCATGAGTTTGATGTGGCCTCTGGGTGCCACTGGATGCCAGGTGACTTTTACACAAATCAGATGACAATGTAAATCACAACCAATCTCAGGTCCACAGAGAAGCCTGCTCCCCTGGCCCAACACCACAGATCCTACTTTTCTGGTTTGGGTTGCGTTTTCTAACTCAAATGTAATTGCCCGCTCAGTGTTTCGTATGCTAGCCTTTAGCTTCCCCACAGGACTCTAAGCACCTGAGAAAGTAGATAATTTCTTGGATGATTCTTACCTACTTTAACGTGTGGTAATTTGTGTTCCAGTCTGAATAAGAAAAGTAACTCCTGATGGTATAAGTAGCCATTTGTCAGAGCTATACATTGGGACGAAGTGAGATGTGTGCTTGTCTCTAGGGGGAAAAAAACTTTTCTGGACATTTTTTGTAAACTCCATCAGTTTTCGGAATGAAGGTGGAGGAGTGAGCACCCCAGAGCAAAGCCAGCTGACCCAGGACACCTCCGTTCACCCTGGAGGCAAAGAGGAGGCATTTTAATTTTGAACTGAAAAGCGTATTCCTGGTGGTGATGGGAACAGAAAGGCCCTCTTCCTCTAGAAGGTGAAGCCTGGGAGTTTTCATTTCTTTGTTTGTTTTGTTTTCTCTCTTTATTTCACTGCTGGTAGTCCAATGCCCAGAATAGTGTCTGGCACATAAAAGACACTCCATTAATTTTTGTGAATAACTGATGAAGATTTGAAGGCATTCAAAGTGAAAATGTCAAAGTGTGCTGCTTTAACAAAATGTCTGAGCACTTTGACTCCTTCTTTGCTGCTCTGAGCCTTTAAATGGCTGTGATCTCTTTGTGGCTGCTTGGGTTGACTGAGATAAGATGTGAGCAGGTGAAGATATTGAAGTGTTGGGGAAGGAATGGATTGATATAAAGAGAAAGATGTAGTGGGAGTATTTCTCCAGTGGTCCAAGTATGACTGAGTTGATCTGAAAATGGGGACAGGGAAGAAGTTCAACAGCATTTCATGATAAAAACACTCAACATGCTAGGAATAGAAGGAACCAACTTCAGCACAGTAAAAGCTGTACATAAAAAGCCCACAGACAACATCACACTCAATGGTGAAAGACTAAAATCTTTCCCTCTAAAATCAGGCAAAGATGTCCATTCTCACCTCTGCTGTTCAACCTACTCAACACAGTACTGGAAGTCCTAGCCAGAACAACTGAAGAAGAAAATGAAATAAGAGAAATGCATATCAGAAAGAAAGAACTAAAATTATGTCTTTTCACAGGTGACATGACCTTATATATAGAAAATTCTAAAGATACCACCAAAAATAATGTTACAACTAGTAGATTAATTTGGCAGAGTTGCAGGATACAAAATCTATGGACAAAAATCAATTGCATCATTATACACTAACAATGATCAATTCAAAGATAATTAAGAAGATAATCCCATTTACTATAGTGTCAAAAAGGATAAAATACTTAGACATAAACTTAACTAAGGAGGTAAAAGACTTATATATTGAAAACTACAAAAACAAATTACCAAAAGAAATCCAAGAAGATCCAAATAGATGAAAAGACCCCCATGCTCATAGACTGGAAGACACAATATTGTTAAAATATTTATACTACCCCAAGTGATGTATAGATCCAATACAATTCCTATCAAAACCCCAATGGCATGTTTTGCAGAAATAGAAAAAAAAATTTCTAAAATTCACATGGAATCCCAAGGGATCCTGAATAGCCAATCTGAAAAAAGAAGAACAAAGTTGAAAGCGTCACACTTCCTGATTTCAAAACACACTACAGAGCAACAGTAATGAAGATAGTGCAATGCTGGCATAGAGGCAGATACATGGACCGATGTAACAAAATAGAGAGCCAGAGAGAAGCTCTTGCTCACAGAATTTTCACCCAAATGATTTCAACAAGGCTGCCCAATGAGGAAAGGACCACCTCTTCAACCAACAGTGCTGGGTTGGGTGCTTATACCATATACAAATATTAATGCAAAATGAGCTAAATATCTACAGATAAGATCTAAAACTATGGAATTCCTAGAAGAAAACAAGGAGAAAGCTTCAAGAGATTGGATTTGGTAATTATTTCTTGAGTATGATGTCAAAAATGCAGGCAACAAAAGTACAAATAGATGAACAGGACTACATCAAACCAAAAAACTTCTGCTCGTTAAAGGAAGAAATTAATAGACTGAAAAGGCAACGTACAAAATGGGAGAAAATATTTGCAAATCGTATATCTGATAAGAGGTTAATGTCCAGAATATATATCACAGATTGATCTTGTTTATAACATAGATTTTTTTCAAACTCCTAACAAAATATTACCAAATCTGATTCAGCAATGTACAATTTTTTAAAATCATGTCCAAGTTGATATTCCAC